GAACTCAACCGCGTAGAAACAGATCAACGGGCACCGCATCAGGTACAGGTCTTCGTCCATCTTGCACATAATGCTGAACCCAATGTGCTCGTACTGTTCGTCGTTGTACGGCACCCAACTAACCTGCATTTAATTCTTCAGTCACGTAGTGCTTACATCGGAAAAACAAATTAGTATGTGAAATGCAGCTAACTCACCAGCCCTGGCGTGAGTGCGTCGAGCTCATTCGCGAACTCAATGTAGGCGCGTTTACTCCGGGCGAAGGGACCCTTAACCTGGTCCCAAAGGTAGGCATACGTCGGCCGACGTCGAAGGCCATGCACCTCGAACCAGGGATGAGGATCAAGAACTTTGGGCTGACCGACCGGTAGACGAGACCACATCCAAAGCTGAAGCAGGTAAACACATCCTCCTAATGAAGAGTTCGGCGAACTCCGGCAGCACGCCTCGCAAAGCTGACGGTTCAAGTAACCCAGCACTGCGGAACCCCAGCTGTAGCCCCCCGCCGTGTGCCAGTCAGTAAGACAGGGCAAGTACATCCATGACGCGGTGTCTCCCGTCCCGTCGGGGAACAGAACACAACCAAAAAGGTGCATGATCCATGCCCTGTAGTAGTAGGTAATTGTCTGCTCGTCTGCATGATCAGGACACTGACCAAAGTTCTGCCTCAACCAACTAATGAGTACTCCAGAGGAGCGAGTACCCGGTGTCTCTAGAGGAAGCTCTCTTCCAAGAAAGACCTCCACTCTACCTCTCCAACCAGCAGCAGTGCAGTGGCCGATAACTGGGCGGCCACTTATACGGACACCCAGGAACTTCTGCGTGTCCTGGAGAGTAACGGTCATCTCACCGCAAGGTAGGTGAAAGCTGTGAGTCTCCGGCCTCCATCTACAAAACAAGAAAGAAGTACTACGGTTATATGCGCATCAAGAACCGAAAATATAATCTGTTCATAATTATGGTACCTGTCTACTAGAGCTAAGATCGCCGCGGGGTTGAAGGCAGGCAACCCACGGCGAACCTGGAACGATACAACGTCAAGTCCAGCCCTCTCAAGGAGAGGAGTGTACCTGTCGTCGTACCGCATGTCCTCGAACTTATCGTGGGTTTGAGGACGAAGAGGGTACAGTTCCTGCAAAGAATAGAAATTATTAGATTAATTCGTGAACACAAGTACATGTGCAGAGGAAAAATATTACTTGGAGAAGTAAAGTCGTTACCTCCCCCTCCACGGTGAGTCATCCTCGGTGGCTCTCCTCGTAGTACGGCTCCAGCAGGTGGAAAGGCTCCATCCTACAAAATATAATGAGAAAGTACACATTAGTTTTATATGAACAAATAAATAACTTTTTTGTACTAGCAAACATGCATGTGAAACATTAGTTATTTTCACCTGACTAAGCGGCCAATGGCATGTACGTGAATTATGCCCAAGTCTACCATATTTGCCACATTGGTTCTGCTCGGGGTCAGTAAGAAAGGGGGTTACTCTCCCTCGCCTCGTTCTACCAGAAACCTGGTCCATGACCATCTTGTGCCTCGTCCTCTTCCGGGTTCCACGTTTGTCCCAACGTGTACCTAGATCCGTAATGTATTTCGGCCCAGTGTAAGGTGGCCACTGACCCTCGTCCAGGAAAGGCTCAAAATGGGGAGACCAAGTCTGTACAAGGCTATCAACACTGAACTCCGACGGTATCTGGGTCTCATAGGCAAAGTTGCGATGCTAAGATGCTGCAACATAATGAGAACAAGGGAAGTGGTACTGCCTGATTTTCCCACATCAACAGGAGAAATTACTAAGTAACACAATATAACTCCTTGATGGCCGAACCTCACCATCGGACGTTGTACCACCCCTTTCTGTGACCTGGTACTTGCCGGTGCAGTGGTCAAAGCAATCGACGTCATGTGTGGCAGCCCTTTCCTTTGCCTTGTCAAGATGCTTCTTAGGTTTAGGTGCCCATTTCTGATTATTACTTTGTAGTGCCATTGCTTGAGCGTGTCTCTCATTAAACTATGCAACTAGCCTATAAAAGGTGAATGATACAATGGCATTGACGGGCATGGCATGTATACCCTTGAGTACACTATTAAATGACTCCGCCATGTTACTAGTCTGAAACTCGTACCTCCATCCACCATCGTCGTAGGCTCTTGTCCATTTCTCAGGTTCTCTCATCAATCCTCTCAGCCACTGCCTACCTTCTGCGTTGGTTGCCGTTTTTAGCTGCTCCAACTTCTCCTCGAAGAACGGCACCTCAAGCATGCGAGCAACCTCCTCGAATAGAGGAAAGTTGTCCTTCGTACCATCCATTCGAAGTAAATTCTCGGCAAGATGCCGAGTGCACCAACGGTGGTGCAAAGGTGCATACCTCGGAATCTGCTCCTGTATGCCACTGAGTATGCCCTGGTGTCTATCAAATATGACACCTACCTCCCTATGAGGGCCAACGACATGGATCCTAACAAGCCGCAAGAACCATCCCCAGCTATCTTTGTTCTCCCTCTCCACCAAAGCGAAAGCCAAAGGATCCAATGCGTTGTCTGCGTCACACGAAATAGCTACCAAAAGTGTGCCCATGTACTTGCCAAGCAGAAAAGTACCATCAATGGATAACACTGGACGACAGTGCCTGAAGGCCTCGACGCACTGGGAAAAGCACCAGAATGCACGAAAGAATATTTGCCTCCCGTCCTTCCATTCATTCGGCTTCGGGATATACACGTAATGCATGCCTGGATTTGCTGCTTTCATTGCATTGAACATTGCAGGCAACTGCTCACACCCCTCCTCCCAGTCCCCATATATCATCTTCCAGGCTCGTTGCTTTGCCCTCCATGCTTTCTCATACTTTATGTCATACTTAAATATCTCCTTAGTCATCTCCATAATTGTCCTGGCCTTCAAGTTGAACTGACCCTTCAAAGTTGTGTATAACTTTCTGGCAATGAGGGCAGAGGTCAACCGTCTATACTTCTGTTTTAGATCTGTCTGGGCACAAATGTGTGGACCTACAATTTTGGTGATCTTGAATTTTCCTGTGACCTTTTGTTTGTGAGCACAGACCCTCCAATTACAATCTGCCATATCGCACACCACCGTGTAATGGCGCTCCACACAGAAGTACCTCACCTTGAATGGTCTCTTACGTCTCACAGAATATTTCTATAGCCACCTTCTTAAGGTGGGCAAGTCCTTGAAGACCATGCCCTTCTGAATTTCCACCCTGTCATCGGCCTCAGAAGCCTCTAGCAGCTCGTCATCTCTTCCTTCTCCATAAGCATGTTGAGAATGACTAAAATCGCTGAATTCATGAACCAGTGGATCACGGTCAGGACACAAGCGTCTGATGAGCTCTATTTCTTGTTCGCTCAAAGCTGCAACTGGGCAGTCATCATCTGAATCAACGGCCCTTGCTGTGCCATAAGGCTCCTCATCATCTGCAATATCATCTACACTCTTAGAGGCCATAAACCCTGGGTCCACGTTGGTTGATGGAGGAACAGGAGCACAACCATCATTATCAGGATTGTCTCCTACATTTAAAGCACAAATATGGATAGCACTGAGATAAAAGTATGGAATGAACAAAGAATAAAGAAAGGCAAAGTGTTACTAAATCACTTACTAGGATGATTCTAGGAAAAAGGGATCTCCTGAGGGGCACCTACAACATTATCAGTCCCACATTCTGCACGGATACCAGGACATACACCAACCTCATTGGGGGCGGATTGAGCATCGGGCACCACAACCGCATCTTCCACATCCACCTCACGGTTGGGTAACAGAGGCTCAGAGGGTGCCGGATTCTCTGGTGCTGGCGACAACCCATGAGGGGGTGAATGAACATTAGAGGGTGAATACCCATGAGGGGTGGGATCATTGGACAACTTCCGCATAACCAAATCCAAACATTGAAACTCATTCTTCATGACAGTTTTGACATATTTGTCCCATTGAGCCTCTGATGCAATTGGAACCAACCGCCTCAAAATTGTCCCTGACCTACCATGGTGAAATACCCCCTCAACTAAGATGGCATCTTCATTTGAATTGTATTTAAGCTCATCACGAGTCCTACCAAACAACTCACAAAACAATGATTGATCATCGAATATCACTGGCACCCTTTGCATTCCAACAAAACTGACATTACCAAACTCATCTTCCTCCACACTTCCTCCATGATACAAGGTGACTACGTTGTCCATCTAGTTGGTATGCACATCAACCAAGTTATTACGGGTATATTATTATAAGATAACTAACCATAATATCTAACTACATTTGCTAACTAAATTACCTAACTATCTACCTAAACAAATAAGTATCTAACTGCCTAACTATCTCTCTAACAATATAAGAGATTTGGTAACTACACTTACTAACTAGCTAACTAAATTAATAAGTAACTAACTCCCTAATTATGTCTCTAACAATCTAATCTAACTAAATAAGCTACATACATATATTCCTAAGTATATAATATAACTAAATAAATAAGCATCTAACTTTCTACCTATGTAATTAAATTTGCTAAATATTCTAAAAAAATTACTAACTAAATTACCTAAAGTAGATTAACTAATTTAAGTTAACTAAAAAAATTACCTCGGATGGGCAGGGGGCGCTGGGCCCGGAGGGGCAGGGGGGCGCAGGGGCCCGGAGGGACAGGGGGCGCAGGGCTCGGAGGCCAGCCGGCCGACGGGAGCTCCGGCGAGCGGTGGCGGGCCGCCCTCACCGCCGAACCTGTGGCTTGAGCCACTAACATATAGGACTCATTGAACCCTACAAATATTTTTTAGCCCAAATCATCTAGATATTTAAGAATTGCAGTAGCTCAAAAATATTTCCTTGCCAATATGACTACAGCTTGTGGGATGCAATGTTTGAAGCAATGGCCAGCAGTCGTGCTGCCTTGCTATGATTTGTTCTGCCGCATCATCCCGCCATGTTGTTAAATGCCAAACTAGAGCAATAGATTAAAAAGTTTGGATCACATATTAACACATCCTACAATTATGATCCAAGCAAAAAAAATGTGGGCTTAGATGGTTATCCTTAAGGCAATTGCGGTGTGGTTACATGATCAAATCCCGGATATGCGCAATTGACCAAGCATGCAGTTGGCTGGAGTCGGATTTGGGGTGGCGACTCAGTAGACACACATAGGCAATGGCTGGAGCACCTGTGGCAGACGGGAAATTGTGAAGTCGACCGTGTTCTCCGCCCAAATCTGGTGCACGACACGAATACTAAGGTCTTGTTTAAATCCGGGGCGTAAAGTTTCGGGGGTGTCACATCAGTCGTCACATGGGGTGTTCGGATACTAATAAAAAAACAAATTACAGAATCCATCACTAATCCGCAAGACGAATTTATTAAGCCTAATTAATCAGTCATTAGCATATGTGTACTGTAGCACCACATTGTCAAATCATGGACTAATTAGACTTAAAAGATTTGTCTCACAAATTAGTTGCAAACTGTGCAATTAGTTATTTTTTTAGTATTTAATACTCCATGTACCATTCGATGAGACAGTAAACTCTGGGGGGCGAACTAAACAAGCCCTAAGTTGCTGCCTAATGCATAGCAAGCCGTAATATGAAAACAAGCATGCGCCCCATCAAGCAGCAGCAGCAGATAGAAAACCATGGTAGCTGAGCACGAGAACTTAAGCAAACAGAAGTAGGTGTTGAGCACATGACATGATCCATTCGTGTATACCTTGCTCCGTGGTGCTTACAGAGTTGCTCCCCTGCGAGCCGATGGACCTCCTCCCGCTGCCGACGGCGGTGATCGCGTCGGCAGCGGGCTTGGGGCCGGCGGGGACCAAGGATCCCATGGAGTTGCGCCGCTCGACGCGCTTCCGGCGCGCCTCGAGGCGGCGGCGGCTCTGCATCTCGCGGCGGCGCCAGCGCTCCTCCAAGGTCTCGGTGGGCAGCGAGGTGGTGCGCAGCAGCGGTAGCGGCGCGGCGGGGGACGGGTCGGCGTCGGCGTCCCCGTGGAGGGAGGAGACGGAGCAGACGGAGGCGATGGAGGAGGAGCGCGCCAGGCGCGGGCGCTTGGCGGCGGCGTCGGTGTCGAAGCGGCCGCCCAGGGAGAGGCCGAGGCTGAGCTCGACGTCGTCGGGCTGGCCGGCGCCGGCGTTGGCGGCGTCCGCCAGCGCGCCCGACCCCTCGCCGCCGGCGCCGAAGACGCGCAGGAAGTCCCTGGACGCCATCGGCCTCCCCACGCTAGCTAACAGCCTGCAGGCTGCTCCGTGCTCCCAAGCAAGGAAGAAGCTTGGGGAAAGAATTGATTATTAAGAATCCATGGTGGCAACGACCGACGAATGGGGAACAGCAAGATGTCGGGAGCAAGCGCACCCCCGCCCGGCCGCCACGCACGCGGACGAATCTTCCTAGAAGCGCGGCCGCATCCGCGGGCGGCGAAGGAGACGCGAACGAGGCAATGGCCAAAGCGCGCGGCGCGGGCAATTGGGGGAAGAAAGATATGGCGACAGCAGATTGGAAGAACGGGAGGGGAGGGGAGGCGAGAAGATAAGAAGAGCAATCAGATCTCCGTCCGTCCCTGCCTGCCGGCCTGCGGCGGCCTGGCTGCAGAGGGCGATTGGTGAGACTGACGTGGCCTTCTAATCCGATTTGCCCCCACTCCGTCCGCTCCGCCTCCGCCCCCCTCGATGATTGGGATTGGGGCGGGGCAGTAAAAGGGAAGGCCTGCGTTTCTTGCTGTGGATGGCTAGCTGGGTCGGGACGTCGGGTGGTGCCGTTGCTATTGGTACAGGTAGAGGACAGGCGGGTCCATGAGCGAGGCGCGCGCTGCGGCGAGGGAGGCGCGTCGGACGTGGAGGAGGTGGAGGACGACGAGGTGGCGCCGCGCCGCCGCGCGCTGGCCGTGCCCGTGCCCGTGCCGGACGCTGGGGCGAGGAGCGGAAGGTGAGGGAAGGAAGGAGGTAACCGTATCAGTCACGGAGCTCTCGAGGAAGCCCGAGGGAGCCGGTCTGTGAAAAAAGGAAGGGAGATTTTTCTGGGACCTGGCTCAAGCTGCTTTAGATCTCGTGCGGCTAGACTCTGAAGTTGAGCCAGGTGCGCCAAACAGGGGAGTTGCAACCCGAGAGCGCAGCTTGGCCATCGGGCCACCCTCACAAACAGGCCCTAGGTGGCTGCTCATACTGATTCCTCCGGACTACATTTCCATAGTCTGTCCTAAAAAAAAGAATACATTTCAAATAGTCCTGCTTTTACTCCACTACTATACAAAGTTTAACCAAGTACATAAACCAAGAGTAGTGATATTTATGCTACCAAATATGTACATGTATATGTCTATATGTACACTATAATAACAAATATATTACATGGTGAACCCAATGATACTTATCTAGGATAACAAATATTGATACTTGTTCTTGTAGCTTTGGTAATAAAACTCTAAATTGTCTACATCTACAGGCTTTACAGCGGTACAGATTCCCATTTTCGAACAAATGACGAACACTAGGTGATACAGTTACTGATGCATCATATATACATGAACTCAAAAGAACAGCAACAACAGTAGACAACCAAACAACGCTTCTGGTTATCGAATACCATGACAACAGCATTAGACATGGACATACTTCGCATTATCTAATACCATGACAACAGCATTAAACATGGACACAAATTTCTGCAGTCGCCGCTTCACAAGATTAGTGTCTAACCTCCCGATCCTGATTGGCAGATGACGCGAGTTACGGACCACAGTCCCAACAGCCAGTTGACAAGCTCATCAACGGCGACAAAATTCACCTACCACCAATGGACGACTGCAACTACCAATCTCGTAGCGAGACCAGCACGGTACCAAAAAAAAATCAATCAAGCTGTCTGATCAGCAATGCTCCTACTACAAATAATCCCTGCACTCAGCTCACTTGAATGTAGCCTTATGCTTTCCTACTTTGATGTAAGTCTACCGCCTGACGCCTCTACGCAGCAACAGGAGCTTGCTTAGGGCCATTGTTCACGCGACTGAACCTCCCATTCCCGTTCTGGTAGGGTCGGGATGGGTGAACACCATTCCCGTTCTGGTGGTAACTGTTCCCTGGTGGAGGTGGCCCCCGTCCTCGTCCAGGGAACTCATTCTGATTTCTGAAGTTGTTCCTGCGGTTGAAGTTCTCGCCACCGTCGTTCCTACGGTTGAAGTTCTCGCCGCCACCGCCATTCCTGCGGTTGAAGTTCTCGCCACCCCCAACGTTCCTGGGGTTGAAGTTCTCGCCGCCATCATTCCTGCGGTTATAGTTCTCGCCGCCGTCATTCCTGCGGTTGTAGTTCTCGCCACCGTCGTTTCTGCGGTTGTAGTTCACACCACCGTCGTTTCTGCGGTTGTAGTTCTCAGCACCGTCGTTTCCGCGGTTGTAGTTCTCACCACCGTCGTTCCTGCATATATAGTTCTCGCCACCATCATTCCTGCGGTTGTAGAACTCCCCTTCATTCCTGCGGTTGTATATCTCCCCTTCATTCCGGCGGTTGAAGTTGTCGCTGCTTCTGTAGTTGGCATTGTCCACATAGCCACTTCCTCGCCCTCTGAAGTTATCACCATGATACACTCCCCTGCCAGATTGGAAGCGACCACCTACACCATTGTACAGGGCCTGAGTCCAATGACTACATTGCATAAATCGAACAATAGCAACAAAGTGTTTAAGAACCGCCCAGCACAACAAATGGGAAATTGTGTTATTTCAAATATTCATACCGACCAGTGCAAAATTACAAAAAACAAGGTCGGCAGATACAGCAACCTAAAAGCATCTTGCCATGTCCACTACACGAACTTGCAAGACACTCGAACCATTTTTAACAAGCTGAATAATCTGGATGATGATTAGTATAAAAGGGGAAGAATTTGGCAAAACTTGTATAAAATTGAGAGCGAAGGTACATAGGGGAGGAAAAAGGTCTCTGATTCATATATCTTGAAATTAAATTTATGGTTTACTGCACTACAGATCAGTTATGATTACCTCGTGAATTGGCTCTTTTCGCCTCAATGCCGACTTCTTTGTCCTCCATATGAACCGGAGATGCCTGGGTGACAAATAGGAATAAGAACTTGGCCTCAGATTGTCACAACCACTATCACACCGATATCAGGTTAAAATATCACAATCAAAACTATAGTTATCAAGCAGGAAAGGATTCAGCAGTCATCTGAAGACTGACAATATCAAACATTAGAAATCATCTACCCAGCTGCAACATCCACAGATAGTAAATTCGTATAAAAAATGTGAATTCAAGTATTCATGTCTTTTAGATGCTGACAAACTTCAAAACCACAAAGAAAACCATGCCAAGAAAAAAAAAGGATTAATTTAATTATGGCACTGCAAACTTTCCACTAGTCAAGTGCAAGGTCCAGAAAGGAAACTAACTACTACTATAACTACAGAGTATCAGTGATTGGAAGAATAAACAATAAAAGACTAACCTCAATTGCTGCTTGCATAGACTGCTGCGACTCGTACTCCACAAAACCAAAAACATAACGATCGACCTGTACCAATACGATATGAGTTTTCTAAACCAAATATTGCATATAGAAGAACCCAAAACGAAAAGTTCTAACCTTATTGTGCCGGACTTGGACACCACCTGGCTTTATAGTACCAAATTTCTTAAATTCTTCCTCAACCATTTCAATATTGGCATGGTAAGGCAAATTCTTGACGAAAATTGAATAGCCTTGCTCTGCAAGGCAAGTCAATACAGTGTCAGCATTGCTAATAATGCAATGACTTAATAATAGGAACAAGTCACAAGCCAAACAAACCATTGCAAGAAGAATTGTTTTGAGCAACAATCCCATCACCAGTTTCGGTAGCCTGGGTAGGTTTCACGGATGTTTTTTCTGGACCTTCGACAGCCTTGGACACTGGTTTAGGAGCTGGCTTCTGTTTGGAAACTGACGACGTTGTTTTGGCAACTGGAGGAGTTGGTGGGCCCTCCTTCATGACCTTGACCTGTGAGCAGGCCGCAATAGGTACGTAATTAGTAAGAAGCAAACTAAAAATCCATAGTGATATCAGCCAAATCACTTCTACAGTAAACTAAGAACAGAATCATGTGTTATGTGAGTTAATAAAACAGAAAGCTTTGTACAACAATAAATCAAACAGAATGATAAATAACTCACAATGGATGCATAAGATTTCTTAGTAACATCCGTCTGAGTTGGAGGGGGAGGAGCAGCAACTAGGGCCTTTTTGGGAACTAGCACAGGTGGCTGGGTTTTGACATTATTTTCAATGGCAGTCCCATTATCAGAGGGATCACTAATTTGCCTCTCAGTGACATTACTCTCAGCTGTCGCATGGTCTGAGATCACACTCCTGTCAGCTGGAATAGGTTCTGGTAATGCTAAGCATGTTTCAGATGCAGGTCTACCATTCTGACTGATTTCATTTTCTTGAGTAGCAACTTGATTTATCTCAGATGGTTTCCTTTCCGAAATAAACCTAAAGATGTCAGTGAGAACAAAATAGCCACCACTTTCTTGTGGTGCTAGGAAGAACGACTGGGTAAACCTATGGAAAACGCCTTCTTCTGAAGTCAAGGATCCAGTAACAACAATGAGCACCCCATCCTTGTGAGATAACTGTGCATCTGCAGTCTCTATCTCTGTTAAGCAGTTCCTGAAGTCCATAGACATAATTTTTTCATTAATGGCCTGTAGAGAAAACAGATGGATCCGAGAGTTAATCTCAATTTCAGACGGCATGCCTATTGTACAAATAAGTCAATAAATCCCCATACAAGAACTTACACTCATAGTGTTTACATACAACATAGTTCCAATGGAATCTGGTCGACCAACAATACTTGAATCTTGGTAAAACTTGTGCACTTGATCTGGTTGCTCATGTAGAATGCGATAATATTGCTGAACAAAAGCGCCACCTATCTATAAACAACAAAAATAGCATTCAGCAATATTTGTGGCAATCCCATACAAGGAATAGAAACACAGGAGAATATAGATTACCACGTGGGGACTTATAGGATGGTTTACTGGGTTCCCTGCTTGCCCTGCCATTTCTGAGGGGAAGAACAAATTAATGCCTTGCCAGAAGCACGATAGTTATGCCTCACAAGAACCACAAGCACACAAATGCAGCTTGTAGAAGTGGACAATCAAGTATAGAAAAGGAATTAAAAAAGCAACCGAGGGGAA